GGCCTGAACTCTGGGCTTGGACACTGTCCCTCAGCTCTTCAGCTCAAGGCTAGCACTCTACCACTTGAGCCACAGCACCACTTCCGGCTTTTTTTTCTGCTTATGTGGTGCTGAGGAATCGAACCCAGGACCTCATGCATGCAAGGCAAGCACTCTACCACTGAGCCTGTCATTTTATTTTTAAGACGGTACAATATTTATCTGCAAGCAAACAACAGAAGACTAAGAAAAAAATTCTAAACATCCATTAGTGAGAAATATGATACCACCTTCCTCGAGCAAGCTATTTTATAGAATATATATATATATATATATATATATATATATATATATATCTGAAAAACTAAGACAAGGAGGCAGAAAAAGTACACATACTAAAGGAAATACACACACACACACATAAGAAAAGGAACATTCTGTCTAGGCTATGAGCTCCCAAGAATCCTAGTATGGGACCTCTCTAGATTTAAACCCTAGATTTAAAAATACCAAGTTGCCAGGTGTTGTTGGCTCATGTTACTCAAGAGGCTGAGATCTGAGGATCATAGTTCAAAGCCAGCCCAAGCAGGAAAGTCAATGAGACTTATCTCTAATAAACTACTCAGAAAAAAGCTGGAAGTGGCGCTGTGGCTCAAGTAGTAGAGTGTTAGCCTTAAGCAAAAGAAGCTCAGGGACAACTCTCAGGCCCAGAGTTCAAGCCCCAGGACTGGCAAAAATAAAATAAAATAAAAAGTATCAAGTAATAGGGTGGTGGTTGTTGTTTAAAAGGAACTTAATTCATAATGCCACTCACTGAAATTACTAAATTCTGTGGGATTTTAAATTTATTACATCTAATGTATTCCAGTTATTATTCTGCATTTATCTCAGTCATGGGATTTCATATCCAAGAATTTTCAGTATATAATGTTCAATTGCTTCTCTTCCATGTCTGCTTAAAGGTAATCTTGTTTAGAGATTTAATGGCAGCCTAGACTGCCATTAAAGATTCTCTTCAGCCTCCAAATGCTGGGATTTACAGCCCCGGTCCAATAAGCCTTTATGCTGAGCTTTGAATAATGAGTTTAAAACTAACTAAACACAATGGGGTTGGGAGTTTGGTCTTGTTTTGCTTTTTTCCTTTTGAAAATGACGAATCGAAAGGCTTCGGGTACAGTTCAGTGGGAGAGCTCACAACAGATCCAAGACCCTGGGTTTGATGAGGTTTCTGGGGAATGTAGAGAAAGGAAGTTGCTACTCTTGCACGTTTGTTTTAGCAACTTAAGCTTTCACTTTTTTTCCTTCCTGTAGCAAAAGTGAAGTTCAGTGGAAAAAGTAAAAAAGCCAAGAATTTGGCATTCTGACTCCACCACTTACTGCCAGCTGTGTGATCTAGAACCAATTACTTAAAAGCCTGGAGCCTCAGATTCTAAAACTGTAAAATTATTAAATGGAGATAATAAATGCTTAGCTTGAAGAGCTAATAAGAGCAAAACAAATTAAGAGGCACACTCTAAAATAAAAGTTCCTGTGAAACAGTGTCTCATCACCGTTAATTCTTGCTGTATGGAAATATAGCAGGACTCAATAATACTTTTTAAATGAAGTAATAAGTATGTGTCCCTAATTCTCTCATCAACACTATTCTACCATAATTGCATTTTTTCCCTCTTCTATCACTTTCTAAAGCCCTTGGGGCACTCTATTTTCTCCTTTGAAGCGCTTCCCTTATTCTCATTGGCTATTATTAATTATACACCATTCCAAAAAAGTACCTTTGGAAGCAATTTCTCTAATGCCACCCACCTTCCATCTCTAATGCAATGGGGGTGGAGGGTGTAATCAGAACATAAGATCACAGCAATTCATCTACTTGCCCACAGCCACTGGTTCGTATTCCTGACAGTGATACTCTGAAATCAGCCCTCCCCGGGACACAACTTTAAGGGGGACACGTCAGGATCCCTCCACCTCTCGGCTGACAGAAGACTCGTGCAAGGGAAATCCTCTGCTCTCCAAAGTTAAGGCGTCGGTGACACTCGCCTCCCGCGGAAAAAAGGAGTGCAACCCCAGAATAAGACATTCATCCTGGCCAGACGGAGGGGTGTCGCCCGAGGGTCACCTTTGGACCTGGCCAAGCTCGTTCGGCCAGGTAACACAGCTCTTCACTCCCCTGAGGGAAGCTAAGAGGTGCGGTCCTTCACGGAGCCCGAGGGGACAGTGCAAAGTCGATGGCAATGTGGGGATGGCCGCACGCATGGCCGGACCCTTTAAAACCTGACTACCATCACCTACTCACACCCGCGCCGGGTCCCAGCAAAGCATAATACCCCACCCCGAAAATCACGCAGCTGCCCCCACCCCATAAATCAGCCAGCCACTGCCTGCTCATTGGCTGTCCCTGCAACACCTTCACCCTCATTGGCTATCCGGAGCGTAAGACCCTCCCCAGCACGGGAGACCTCCCGTACGGCGGCGCCCCCAGCCAAGCCACACAACCCGGCTTTCCAAAGCCCCCCGCCCCGCCGCTCCCCTCAAAGAGCGTGGTCCCAGATGCGCTCGGAGCCGGGCCTGCTGACGACTCACCGTGTAGTAGGAAAGCAGCCCTGCATTGTAGTCCAACACGAACCAACGGTACTGCCAGCCCTTCATCACGTTAGTCCATTTGCTCAGCGGCCCTTCCACGATGGACGCCATCTTGGGAGCCGCCAATGACAACAAACGGCCTGACGTCACTCGCCTATAAGGCATTCAGCATGCGGGGGCGGAGCCTCCGCGGGCCGGGGCGGGGCCTCTGCGCCCGGGGCGGGGGAGGAGGCGTGGCCAGTAGCCTCTCCGAGTCGGCCCGGGAGCCACGCCCCCAGCAATCACAGTCACACAAGCTTTATCTCCGATGCTATTGTGTGTTGGGTGTGTAGGATGGGGTTCGCGGAACGGTGGCGAGAGTGTGAGCGTGATAACTGCTATTAAGGTTACTTATTCACATGAGGAGTTTTACGTCCGAAAGACTTCACATCTGATACTCATGAATGCATCCATTCCACAAACCACTCGTTTAATAGACATTTGCTGTTTTGCACTAGGCACTCTGAGGTTGAAGGAAGGCGAGGAAAGCGTGAACAGACAATAAAATAGATCGTAGATGAGACAGAGTGTTTAGAATTGGTAAGACAATACAAAAAAAATTGGTAAGGACTGCGGAGGAAATTTAAGGAAAAGAAAGAGTTGGACCTCTTTTAAATATTTGAAATACCATTTTAAATACGTTTTGAAAAACTAAAAACCTGAAGAAAATGAAAGAGAGGCTTGGGGCGAGAACCTTCAAGAGGGAAGGATTACCAAGTACAAAGACTGGATGTTAGGAGTTAGCGAACTGAAGAAACAGTAAGAGATCAATGTGAGTGGAGTTGTAAGCTGTGGAGAACGTAGTAGGAGACAAGACAAGATTACTAATTAAAAATTTAAGTATTTGTGGACAACATACATTATTATTCAAGGTCCAGAGAATGTAATAACGGATGAGCACCAAGAGGTTAAATTCTGTGATGAATATAAATAGTAAACAAGAAAGCTATCCAATAACATTTTGCAGATAAATAAGCTGAAGGAAGTCAAAGAGTAAGTGCTTTGTTAGGTGGTCAAATCAGGCCTTTATGTAGCATTTAAACTGTGATGTGAAGGATGAGTATAAGCTGTGCAAATACAGGAAAAAGCTAAAAAGGGAACCCAGATATGGAGCATTATCTAAACCTGGAGAATTAGAGGAGGGATTTTCTTTGCCTTTTACTTTTTTTTTTTAGATTGATGATTTTAGAGAAAATTATTTTGCTAATTTTCAGACATGGGAAAAACTGGTGACATTCCAGACAAAGGAAAGAACAACTCTGGATCCCTCAATAAGACTGAGATCCCAAACCCAAGGGAAAGGTTTGACCTTAGACAGGAGCAAAGATACTCCATACTAACAAGAACGAGAAGGGGGATTATGGGTTAGGTGCCAGTAAGTCAGTAGTTAAGATGATTTAAAATCAAACAAAAAACAATGAGCTTCTTCTATCTCTTAGGTGAAAGGAGGCACAAAAAACTTAGTAATTAAGTATATTAGTTAAGTGAGTTCTGGTGTCACAGCACACTCCTGAACTGCCAGCAATGTTTTCATCCAACAACAGCCAAATATATGATGGTAGTCACTAAGATTGAAACAAACCTGAGCTGGAAAATTCTATTGCCTAAATGATGTTATAGCCATCATAATATCATAGCACACTGTAAGACTTACGTGTCTGTGATGATACTGGTGTAAAAATAATCTATGCTGGCCACTATATAAAAGTATAGAACAGGGGCTGAGAAGGTAGTTCAGTGGTAGAGTGCTTGCCTTGCATGCATCAGGCCCTGGATTTGATTCCTCAGCACCACATAAGCAGAAAAAGCCGGAAGTGGCGCTGTGGTCAAGCTGGCACCAGTGGCTCACATCTGTAATCTCAGCTACTCAGAAGGCTGAGATCTGAAGCCAACCCAGGCTGGGGACTACATCACACACACACACACACACACACACACACACACACACACAGGAAGTGGAGCTGTAACTCAGTGGTAGAATGCTAGCCTTGAGCATAAAAGCTCAAGGACAGTGCCCCAGTCCTGAGCTCAAGCCCCAGGACCAGCACCAAAAAAAAAAAAAAAAAAAAAAGCACATAAAATTATGTATAACACATAATACTAGATAATGACAATAAACAACTTTGTTACTTTATAATACTTTTATTATTTCAACATGTACTCCTACTTGTTAAGAAAAAAAGAAAGAATTGTAAAATAGCTTCAGGTGATATTTAAATAAAAGACATTGCTATCAAAGGAGATGATAGGGGCTGGGAAGGGGGCTCAGTGGTAGAGCGCTTGCCTTGCATGCCTGAGGCCCTGGGTTCCATTCCTCAGCACCACATAAGCAAAAAGAAAAAAGCCGGAAGTGGCGCTGTGGCTCAAGTGGTAGAGTGCTAGCCTTGAGCTGAAGAGCTGAGGGACAGCACCCAGGCCCAGAGTTCAGGCCCCACAAAACAAAAAACAAAAACAAAGGAGATGATAGCTCTATCCACGTATGGTATTCCCTGATAACTTTCACATAGGACAAGATGTATAGCTGGAAGATAGTGATACTGATCATTCTGATACAGTGTAGGCCTAGACTAATATGTATGTTTGTGTCTTCAGTTTTGTTGTGGTTTTCTTTATTTTTGCTGGTCGTGGGACTTGAACTCTGGGCCTGGGCAATGTCCCTCAGCTCTTCAGCTCAAGGCTAGTGCTCTACCAGTTGAGCCACAGCACCACTTCTGGTTTTCTAGTGGTTTATTGGAGATAAGAGTCTCATGGACTTTCTTGCCTGGGCTGGGTTTGAATCGTGATCCTCAGATCTCAGCCTCCTGAGTAGCTAGGTTTGCAGGCTTGAGCCACCAGCGCCCAGCTAATAAATAACTTTATTTATTTATTTATTTTTTGGTCAGTCGTGGAGCTTGAACTCTAGGCCTGGTCACTGTCCCTGAGCTCTTCAGCTCAAGGCTAGCGCTCTACCACTTGAGGCACAGAGCCATTTCTGGCTTTTTCTGTTTATGTGTTGATGAGGAATCAAGCCCAGGGCCTCAGGCATGCAAGGCAAGCACTCTACTGCTGTGCCACCTTCCTGGCCCCTGAGTCTTCAGTTTTTAAAGATTATATTTCTACTTAAGTAGCTGTACACAGAAGTTACCATTCAACAAATGTCTCTCCAGTCTTAACATAAAGTTTTAAAAGGAAATATATGTCATTTTTAAAGTGTACTGTGTGCCAAACCATCTATGTATGTATACTTGTATAAGGACATAATAATGAAATGGCCTAATAACCCATTTCTCAGAAAGTATCTCTATTTCTAAGGAGTACTTGCCTATACTTGGGTTTCAATCCCCAGCTCCATCACTTAGTAGCTAGATAGGCAAAATTTCCACATTCTCTGTGCCTCAGTTTTCCCAGAGATTCACTTATTTAAAATGTGAATAACAATAGTAACTATCTCCCAAGGTTATTTTGAGGATGAAATGAGTTCATACAGTAATGAGCTTAGCTTGGTGGATAATAATAAATACTATATAACCATAGGCACAAAACATGAATACAATTGAGGTGTAATACAAAGCTGTTCTCTTTCTTTTTAGATATTTTTTCTCATTAGTTGGTTGAGTGTTTACTTTGTGCCAGAATACCTTATCACCTTTAGTCATCCTTATAGTTCTATCAGTGAGTTCGTTTCCACATTTTACAAACAAGGGAATGGAGATCCAAAGAAATTAACCAATTTACCTAGCTAGCTAGTAGTATTTATTTGTGAGTATCTGAGTTCACATCTCTCTTTTCCTTCTCCATATCACCTCCTGTAAAACACAAGGTGCACTTCTCATGGAAACTTGTACTCCAAATGCTTATGAGCAGAAATCCTCTTGTTGCTGATGACTTTTGGAGTAAGCAAAATATGGGTACTTTCAAATATCATGACTCAGATTAAAAGAAGGCATTTACATAATATTAATTATCTCCATTAGCCTCTTAAGAACAGGTCTTATTCAGTGTGTGTGTGTGTGTGTGTGTGTGTGTGTGTGTGCTTGCATGTGCATGCGTGCTACTGTTGAGGCTCAAACCCAAGGCCTTATGCATACCAAGTGAACCCTGTACTGTGACCTATATCCCTAGTCCTCTTATTCATTTTTGTAGCCCTCAAAAGGAGCTCAGCGCCCAACATACAAAAAGTGCTTAAGAATTGTTGCTCTGTCTGAATTATGTGTCCCTTTAGTGTTGAACTAAACGCTGTCATTTATATTTTATCCTTTAATCCTCACTACAAAATTTATATTATAGTACCACCCATCCTATAGATTAAATCCTTGGGCTACTGGGTTATTGAATAGGTTGTTATGGTGACACAATCAGTAAACAGCAAAGCTTGAATTAGAACCTAGGTCTTTTTTTGTTATATTCATTTCACCCTGCTACAAGCTATATTTGCATTGTCTGTGTGTCAATAAATATCATGGACATGATATAGATAACAACGACAACTTGTAAATCAGTTTTAACTTTCATCAGGCTCACCAGACATCAGAAAGCTTAGCTTCAACTGTCAAAACACAGGTCAATGGAAGTGGCGCTGTGGCTCAAGTGGTAGAGCACTTGCCTTGAGCTGAAGAGCACAGGGACAGAGTTCAAGCCCCACGCCCGACCAAAACAAAAACAAAAACAGGTCCAAAGGAAGAGCCAGGAACAAGGGCAGTTTGTTTTGATTTTCTGTTTTTGGTTTTTTCAGTCCTGGGGCTTGAACTCAGGGCTTGGGCACTGTCCCTGAGTTTCTTTGGCTAAAGGCTAGCACTCTACCACTTGAGTAACGGTGCCACTTACAGCTTTTTCTGTTTATGTTGTACTGAGGAATGGAACCCAGGGCTTCATGCATGCTAGGCAAGCACTCTACCACTAAGCCACATTCCCAGCCCAGCAAGGGCAGTTCATGACTCCTAAGATCATATCCAATTCCACTGCCCTTAATCTACATTCTACACAAAGTGTCAATCTGCATGCTTTAGATCATCAGCTAAAATTAAACCTGGTGGTGTCACATCGGCTCTCATTCCTACATTTCTTAGTGACTAGCCTTGCATGGAATGAAGTGG